CTTCTGAATCCTCACAAATCGATAACCATCTTTTACGAGACTGTATAATCAAGATTTCTAAATTTCCAGAAGAAAAAAATGTAATTATTGAAGCAGTACAGAAACGATTTCCTTTCTTGACATATACTAAATCGAATGCATGGCACCGGGATATTTTTAAATATACAGATCCAGAAGCTAAATGTCCGATATGCAATAAAGTTCATACACGTTTAGGTATATGGGGTGATTGGAGCTGTCTAGGTAAAAATGATCATTATTTTCTTAATTGCCCTTTTCGCATTGATCAAAAGAAAGTTATAATTGCTATACAAAGTTTGCTGGAAGCTCAGGGTGATATACCAAACGAAACCCACCTTTATCAGCCAGAAGCAGGCTTACGTCAATATGTCATCGAACATAGAATAGATCCCAAGGAATTTTTAATCATTACTGAAGCTGAGAAAAATAGATAAACCATGGAATGTTTTTGTGGGAATTTGGAAAGAAATATACGTTTCTATCATGGTGGAATGAAAAGAAAAGAAGACTCTAGAAAATATCATGAATTTTTAACAGATCAGGAGAGATTGGTTGGTGAAGAGTTATTACGTCGTGGCATACTAAAAAGCGGGTTGAGTACTGTATGGCTCGATAACCTTATGGAAGAATAGAAAAAAGTCTATGCTCAATTTATATAAATTTTTAACCGGATATTGTAACCTCAGGTCATATTCTATGTAATAAATTCTATTGGAAAACAATGAGCTTTGTTTTAAAATATAATTAATAAAGAATTCTTTTATTTTTATATTATATTTGTGAAATATGAAATAATATGCAGAGCATAGAGTCTTTGACTCATATATATTATATTATAAACAATGTAGAATCCCAAGAATGATTTATGCTAGTTATGTATTATGCCTTTATAGATACTATTGGGATTGAATTCTAATATTTATTTCCAAAGCATATGAGGCAATAAGTTTTAGCTCGAAAAGCTATGGCATAGAATATAATTGTTACTGCATCATATTACTGCGCCAGTGACATTGATGTCATGTCTAAATTCATTTATTAATAAAGTTATTAAATGACCCGATTTTTTGTAAGCTTTACCGCTATTTAATCGTACGTCTACATGAAACATGCGGTGTTAAAATAAACTAACACCTCATTAATTGTTGTCAGTTATCCGTTATCTAGCAGTTAACCTGCCTAATCGCATGTAAAATAAATCAAAATTTTGATTGGCCTCATTGTATACATCACTCGCAAAATATGACGATTATATACAACTCATCTAATAATCCAATTCCCACTAAAATTGAATCATATTATTCTAGGTATATAGATCCAAATCCTTAAATCCGATATAATAGCATAATCTCATATAATTAATAAATAAATCATAAAATGGTTGATTTTAGCAGTTTAGTAGCTCATCAGGGTTCTAAATGTTCTGATGAAGAATGGGGTGAATATTGTAAGATGTCACAAGTTAGTGATAATGAAACTCCTGGTGAGTGGATGAAACGGATTTGGAAACATCTTACATATTTTAGAGAGAATGATCTCTTACCTTATAATAGCAAAAAATATCTTGAAGCTAGAAAGTTAATATTATTCCCAGATGGCAGTTCATATGCTCCTGAAATTGGAATAGCAATATGTTTCTCTTGTGATCAATTAATATATACTGGACAAAGAACTAAGAATATAGGAAATTATAACCATATAGGAATGGAAAAACATTGGAAATTTTCTTGTATGGGTAATAAATACTGTGGTGTAAATTATGAAGAATATATGGAAATTAAGCAAAAACCTAATTCTGAATATAATTATGATAATATGTATGCATTACATCGATATGAACTATGGATGCAAAATATTATTAGAAAAGTTAAATGTGCAAAAGAAATTGGTAAGAAAATTCAAGCATGTATAATAATACAATGTAAATTTATTGAATATATGTATAAACCTGATGGTCTCTATGCTTCAGAATTAAAATTACATTATCAATTATTATGGGCAGTTCGAGAAGAAATGCGTCAAATTAATAATGTATAGGTATTAATATTTGTAAAATGATTTATTACATATATTAATATGTGTCAGAGACACTAGCTCCACTATAACAACATATAACAACATATAATAATATATAACAGTATATAACAACATATAACAATATATAACTTATCTATTTATCTACTTTATATATTTTTTTTTACATTAATTGTTTTTACATCTACTCTAACTACAAATCGGCAGGATGGGACTGAATTCAGGATGATTCATGCTTTGTGGTTTCATTCATATCCATAAGGTAAGTTTCATTTTCTGTATGTTTATTTTTATGAAAAGGTAATATATATTTCTTAATAATTTGTGGCAAATATTTGTTTGCATTTAAGGTTAAACCCTTATTATGTTCTGATTTGTGTTTGTATAAAAAAAGCCTATATAAAATCCATATAATAAATATTACTATTATGACAAAGATGCCTAGCTTGATAATTGGAGATGGTTGATACTCATTGTTAACGATATATTTGTCAGCACCTAATGCCCCTCCTATTATAATATCTTGAATTGAAGGTTCTGGGTTCTGCTTATTCGCAATAATTGATATTGTTTCATTTTTTTTTATTACTAGATCATTTATTATATTGGATATATCATTAGTTGAAGACTCCTGGCTAGTTTGAGAAGTATCTATTTTTTTTGCCTGTTCTGTTTTCTTTTTACTTACAAGATACTTTGTGAGACTTTTTGATTCAGATGTGTCTCCAGAATTTGATATATTTTTTATTGCGGAAACAATAGGGCTCTGCCCTTCATCACCTTCATTAATTATTGCAAAGCAAGCCATTAGGCGATTCTTCAAATCATGTCCCTTTGGGACTACAGGTTTTGATATAGCCTCTGATTTCAGGTGATCGAGTTCACTTCTCACACACTCCAATTCATCTTCTATTTGTTTAAACTCACCCATTTTAGATTTAATGAATAAATTCTCAGATTCTGTTTTTGATAAGTTTTCCTAAATCGAAAATGCATCTTTTTGGGCTAATGCTAACTTACCCTCCAATATCTTAATCATAGCCTGAAGTGATTTTATTTCTTTTAATTGGATATCATACCTGGCTTTATACTCATCACAGGAAATCTGTGATCGGGTAATCTGGGATGTAAGGTTAGTATTGGCTATTTTCAATCGTTTAACCTCTTTAATAAGTTGACAACAATATTTAAAAAGTTTCTCTTTATCTTTATTGGTTTGATTTAGATCAAGTTGTAATTGTGCTTTATCCTGTTTAATATTTTTACTAAACTCTGAATATACCTTCTGGTAGTTTTTAAAATCCTCAATAAGTTTAGAATTGGTTATACAACTATCACGTAAAGCTTCTTCAAATTCCACTTCCCTAGTACTCCCAAGTCGATATCCTTTTGGTGAGTTGATATCTTGTAATGTATATACATTAGCCATGTATTTTTGTCTTAGCTATAATTAATAATGTTTTTTTTTTTATATTATCAATAATAACATATTATAAATATTATCAATAATAACATATTATGAATATTATTAATATTACTGGTATTATCAATAATAATGCATTACAAATATTATCAATATTACTGATATTACTGATATTATCAATAATGATTTTTTATTATTATCAATATTACTGATACTATTATTAAGACCATGCGATCTGATGCAGTCGAACTATCACCTGCTGATTACGAATATATTATGCAATACAAAAATGTAAAATCCAAACCTTTAAAGATGCTTAGAGATAAATATCATATGTCCAATACCCGTTTTTATCAAATATGGAAAGGAAAAGAGGTTTGTATAAATACTTGGAATATGTCTTTAGCTAATTTTGAAAGTGGTATTTCAATACTTATAGTTGTGGAAGAAGTAAAAAAGAAAAAATCTAAGCTAAAATCTGTTTGTATTTCTGATCAACATCTTGTTAATAAAAATTCAATAAAAAAGATAGATGAAATTTCAGAAGTAAAAGAAACTATATCATCTGAAATCACGCGAGAAACTGAAGATCCTTTAGAACTCTTTAAAAGAACACAAAAAGATGCTAAAAAAAGTAGAGCAATTGCACATGTGGATATTTTTAAATTATCTACTCTTAATTCGAAAGTATAGAATCGATTTCTTCTTTATACTGATTACGCAAATCATTATAATATTCAATAAATTCTGAATTGGTTTGAACACTAGTAAATAGTGCTTTTTCAAGTTCCTTTATATGGATAGTCAAATTTTCACAATTCACACATTTTTTTTTATTGTGTGACAATGGCTCTTTGAGCCTACCTCTGACATCTGTAATTTTTTTGTATTAAATGCATTGCGTAATTCTTTGCGAGTAGAAAGAGGAATTGTAATAGTCTTTCCATTGTGTGTAGCTGTAAATTCTCCTTTCACTATCGGATCCCACCCAACACGATATTGCCATTTTGTACCAAGTATCATTATAGATATGTCTTTTCCATTTCGATCTTTTTTTGTGGGGATTACAGATATTTCTTTTTCAGAAACTGTTATAGAATCTTCTTCAGTACCTATTGTTATAGGAACATTATATGTAGTACCAATAGATTAGGAATCTCCAACTGCACCAGTAAGTTTGTGAACATTTTTCTTATCTATTTTTATCCCTAAATACTCAGGAATATTATTAGTATATAATGAATCATTTGCACCAGTATCTAGAATTGCATAAGGTATTATCAAGTCACCTATTCTACATGAAATTGTTGCTACATCATTAGGTTCTTTTATATCGAGAAAATCAATCTCAAAAGGGTTAGGCCAATTTTGTCTTATTTGTGCTCCTTGGTATACTTTAATAGCATGATTTAATGTAATGGAATTGTCAAATTTTTCTGATGGAGATATAAGCTCATAATTACAATTTGTTTCTTTGTGACTCGAAGAGTTTGAAGTCTGGTTCTTAATAATTTCAATAAGTGGTTGGAAAATAGTTAGATATTTTTTCACAATAATATCCCATACCTTATTTCATTCCTTGACTGTATACTTTCATCATAATATAAATCAAACTGATCCTTTATTTTTATAAACAAGTTATTAAGAAATGTATGAAGTTCAATAAGAATCTCCCTAGGACAATTAGGTATTAATTCGGATATTATATATTTAAGATATTCAAAAAATACTTCCTATTCCAAAATAACGATAGATTTTTTCTTAATAGAAGGTTTCTTTTTTACAGGAATCTGAGTTATCTTTCAATATCATCACCTTCTCATCATCTGAATTTTCTGGTTCGCTTTGATAAACATTATTAACTTTTTTAGGCTTCTTAATAAGTCTAGAACACTTATTTTTTCTATGTCCAATTTTTTCGCAATTTGAGTATTTATAAGTAACTTTTTGTGGTTTCTTTGTAGTATATACTTTTTTAGTACTTCCAATATTACTATTTTGTCCAAAAGATTCTTTTTTAATATGATTAGATTGTTTTCCATAATTTTTGTAAAGGTCGTTTTCAACAAATTAATATATTGCTGTAGGATCTGATAAATCACCTGAATATCCTAATCTAATGCGATATTTTTTTGTGGAAATTGATTTATAGGAATACTATTGGTTTCATTTTCAAAATTACTTGTTGGTTCTCCAGACTCTAAGGATCTGATAAATCACCTGAATATCCTAATCGTATTGCGATATTTTTTTGTGGAAATTGATTTATAAAAATACTATTGGTTTCATTTTCAAAATTACTTGTTGGTTCTCCAGACTCTAACCAAATAATCCTTAATTGCGTAAAGAAGTCATTTACCGTATTTGGATTTGCTATTCTGATTCATGTTTCTAATCTAGGAGGTAAATGATCATAAAGATATAGCAATACTTTTGCATCGTCAATACCTAATACATAAGGTCTAATTCTTTTTTCATAAGTATCAATTGTATCTAATGAAGTGAATTTTT